CTGGAACTAGCTCTTGTAGACCAGGCTGGTCTCAAACTCAGAGATCCTCCTGCCTCTGCCTCCCAAGTGCTGGAACTAAAGGCATGAGCCACCAATGCCCGGCCTATACCCATTTTTTTTTTTTCTTTTTACTGTATCTGTTTAAAGGTTTTCTCAGTCTGGCCTTTACTGTGTACCTGCGGCCTTCTCTGTGTGAATCAAGCCTTAAACCTGCTACTCCACTCTGCATATGGCGTTGGCTGGCTCAAGTCTGCAGGCAGTGGCCAGGAACCCTGTCTCTGTATGCTGAGGCCTGCCTGAGAGACTGCAGGACTAGGAAACTGTGTCTGGTTTCATGTTTGTATGTTTGAATTTTTTTAAAAAAGCTTTCTGAGGGCCTATATGGAAATACATGCTCCCACCTTGGATGCCCTGTGTAATGAGTTTTTTTCTGCCTGCCATGCAGTTCCCAAATACTGATACAGAGACATCTTATTAATTATGAAAGCTTGGCCTATAGCTTAGGCTTGTTCCTAACTAGCTCGTATGGCTTAAATTAACCCATTTATATTAGTCTACGTTCTATCACATGGCGTTACCTCTCTTTCATCTTGCACCTCCTGCTTCCTCTCTGTGTCTCCTGGCATCTCCTGCCTAGATTCCTCCTCCTCTCCCTTTCTCTTCCCTGAAATCCTGCCTATACCTCCTGCCTAGCTATTGACCATTCAGCTTTTTATTACAACAAGCACAGCAATACATCTTCACATAGCGTATTACAAATATTCCACAACATTCCACTTTGTGTACTGGTAGAGGAACTACGGGACTTCATGCATGATGGGCACACAAATTACTAACAGAACTGCATTCCTAGTTTAATCTTGAACTTCTGGTCCAGCTGCCTCCATTTTGTTTTTTTGTTTGTTTGTTTGTTTGTTTTGGGATTACAGGGGTGCACAATGCCTGGTTACACTTATTTACTTGCTTCACACATGCGCACACCTTTCATCTTGCAGGTCTTATGGTTATACATTAACAAATGCTTAGAAGAAATACTAGAGAACCCTTCTGCATTTTGTCAGTTTTCTCTTAACAGCAGCATTTTACAAAGCTACAACTGACATAATTTCAATATACTAATTGTATAAATTGCCACAGTTGAATTTGTATTGGTGATATGTACTAAGATCTATAGGACATTATCCAGTGCAGGTTCACATAGCCACCAGCAGAGTTAACTTTCTGACTCACATCACCAAGATTCCTGGTGCTGGCCTTTTACTGCGTACCCACTTGCCTCCTGTGTCTCCCTTCCTTCCCAGTTCCTACTAAACTTTATTTCTTTTTATTTGGGTATTTTTGTTGTTGTTTTGTTTTTCCAGAAGGGATTCTCTGTGTGGCCTTGGCTGTCCTGGAACTCACTCTGTAGACCAGGCTGGCCTTAAAATCACAGGCCTGTGTCTGCCTCTGCCTCCTGGGTGCTGGGATTAAAAGTGTGCCACCACTGCCCAGCTGCCTTCACTTCTAAAATTCTGTCACTTGAAAATGTTGGGCCGAGCGTGATGGTTAATACTTATAATTCTGATACTAAGAAGGCAGAAGGCAGGAAGCCTTTGAATTCCAGGCCAGCTAGGCCTACACCGGGAGACCTTGTATCAAAAGAAAAAAAAAAAAAATTAGTCAGGCACTGTGGCCCACCTCTATAATCCTAGCACTTGGGAGGGTGAGGTAGGAAGACAGCTAAAAGTTTGAGGCCAGCCTAAGCTACACAGTGAGCCCAGTACAGTGTGGGCTGCACTGTGAAATCTTGTCACAACAAACCAATGACTTAAAGGGGAAAACTGCCATGTAAGTGTAATAATACTGTATGCAACCTTGGAGATTGGTTTTTCTGGCTGGTGTAATTTCCTGGAGAGTCATCCAAGTAGTTGTGGTTATAAATAGCTATTTCTTTTCATTACTAAGTAGTGTTCTATGGTTTGTCTGTATTGGATTGTTTGAGCATTCACTTTATTAAAGGGTATCTAAGCTGATGCCAATTTTGGCTCTTATAAATAAAGCTGCTATGAACATTTGTGCAGATTCTTGGGTGAACATAAGCTTTCTCTTCTCTGGGATAAATGCCCAGGAGCTCAGTTGCTGGATCATATGGTAGTTGCATGTTTAGTTTTTAAAAGAAACTGTCAAGCTGTTTTCCATCGTAGCCTTGCCTTTTTACATTCCCACGAGCAGTGCATGAATGGTCCAATTTCACTTTTTCACCAACACTTGGCATTGCCTCTATTTTTAGTTTTAACCAGTCTGATATATGGCTGATAAGATCTCATTGTGATTTTCATGTTAATCATCTTTTCATGTTATTTGTCATCTGAATATTCTTTTTTTGTGAAACATCTTCATGTTATTTGCCCATTTCTTATAGGGTTGTTTGTTATTTTACTATTGCAATGGCATCATTACTTATTCTATATTCTAGTCCTTGTTGAATATGTGGTTTGCAACTCTAGCTCCATCCCCCCCCCCCCAGTCTGTAGCTTGCTTTTCGTCCTCTTCTTATGGGTTTTCATAGGAAAAATGTTTTGGGAGATAGGGTCTCCCTGTGTAGCCCAAGCTGGCAGTGAACTGGCAACAAATCTACTTCAGCCTCCTAAGTGCTGGGATTATAAACATGGCAGTCATGCTTGAACCATTTTTTGAAAGATTTTTTTGTTTGTTTGAGACAGGGTTTCTTTGGAACTTGCTCTGTAGACCAGGCTGGATTTGAACTCACAGAGATCTGCCTGTCTCTTGCCTCCCACATGCTGGGATTAAAGGCATGCGCCACCAACGCCTAACTTAAGATTTATTTTTATGTGTGTACATCTGTGCCTGCATTATTTTATGTGCACCAAGTGTATGCAGGTTCTAAAAGAGGCCAAGAGGTGTTCATCCTCTGGACCTGGAATTACAAATGGTTGGGAGCAACCTGATATGGATGTAGTAACTGAACCCAGATCCTCTGCAAGAGCAGTAAGGACATTTAACTGCTAAGACATCTTTGTAGTCCCTAAGAACAGAAATATTTCAAGTCTGATAAGGTCTAGTTATTTGAGTTTTCAAGACAGGGTTTCTCTGTGTACCCTGGATTGTCTTGTAGACCAGGCTGGTTTTGAACTCAGAGATCCACCTGCCTTTGCCTACCAAGTTTTGGGATTAAAGGCCTGTGCCTCCACTACCTGTGGCTTACTTCCTCTTTTTGCCTTTGATCAGGTATCAAGTCTAAACCCTTTGCCTGCTCCAGTCTCTGAAGAGTTTTTCCTTTTTTTTTTTTTTTTTTTTTTTTTTTTGTAAATAGACTTGTTTTTGGTTGGTTGATTATTAGTTGATTTTGGTGTGTGTGTGTGTGTGTGTGTGTGTGTGTGTGTGTGTGTGCTGAACCCACTGAACTAAATCCCCAGTTCCAGGAGCCCTGGGAGTTTACAGTTTGTCACCTTCTTTATAAGAAATGCTTGCCAGTTTCCTGTCTTCATTGAGTTATCGTGCTGTTTGATGATTACTTCCAGATATATAATAGCTAAAGTAGAAAGTACCAAAAGTGTAGATAGAATGTTAAAGACTTTATTTTAACAGAATCATCAATCTTTGATGGAGTTAGTTTGGTTTGGTTTGGTTTGGTTTTTTGAGATGGAGTTAGTCCTGTGCCCCCCCCCCAGCCCCCGCCCTTCTTACTTTTTCTGGTTCCGAGGATTAAAAATTCAGAGTCTCAATCCAATTGGGCTAGCACTCAACCACTGAGATAGCCCAAATTTTGCATTTTATCTGAGCTTGTTGCCAGCTATTGCTAATACCACCCCTGATCCATCACAGATCTGGCTGGATCAGGTCTTGAAGAGGGAACCACTTATATGTTTAGAGAGAAAACTAGGATGGCAGAAGTAGAGTTGGAGGGAAGGATCTGTGTCGTGTGGCTCTCATGAACCACTATTATGATTATTCAATTGTTACAAACATGAATAGCTTTTTTTGCAGATTTTTGGCAAACAAAATATGACCTGGTTTATGTAATTAAGGAATTTCTGGCTACTGAGAAAACAGCAGACTGGGAATGTGGATCTCGAAAGCATGGGCATAGGTAGAAAGCTCTTGCAATGCTTCAGGCAAGAGATGATGGTAGTTTTGACCAGGATAAGCCAGGTTCAGCCTTCCAGCATCTGGGAGGTTGAGACAGAGGATATTCAAGTCCAACCTGAGCTATGTAGTGAATTCCAGTTCATCTTGGGCTACTGTAACAAGACCATGTTAAAAACAACAAACAGAGGCTGGCGAGTGGCTTGATGGTTAAGAGCCCTGGCTGCCCTTCCGGAGATCCTGAATTCAAATCCCAGCAACCACACGGTAGCTCCAAACATCTATTATAGATGATGCCCTTTTCTAGCATGCAGTTATATATGCTGAGCACTCATAAATAAAATATAAATAAATAAATTTTTTTTAAAATTGGAAACAACAACAAAAAATGGAGAAGACTAAAATATTTGGATCTAGTTGTCAGGTGGCATGGCCTGAGCTGCAGGCAAAATGGGTTTGGTGGTGACTCATGCATCAGTGATATGCTTAGAGATGCCTGCCATGCCTCGACATGAAGATGTGGAGTAGACAGTCGGCTATTGAACCTGGGATCCAGCAGATACACTCAAATGGAGACAGACATATTCATTTCCAGATATCATTTAGGACTCAGAGCATGGCTGTGCTGTTAGGGAGTGAGTGTGGGTGAAGGGGAGAAAACTAAACCCTAATCCTAGGGATCTCAGATTTAAAGCCCTCCACTGATGCCAGGATGTCTGGACAGGCATCTCAGTGGTCCTAAAGCTTCTGTACAAGGCAACCTCAGGACAAGACACACACTGGGAGTGGGGTATTGCATTTTAGCAATTTAGAAATAGTGGCTCTTGCAGCTTCCCCAATTGTGGGCCCGGAAGCAGCATCTGCAGGGACAGATAAGTCTCCCTGCCTTACCTCCCTTCTCATCTTCTTTCAAGGAGCCAGTAAGACAACACTTCTTCTCCAAGCACGACAACCGCACTTCCTTCGACAAAGTGAGTGCTGGAAAGACAAAGGGGAGGGAGGAGGCCCTGGCTGGAGCTGCTAGGGCACAGACAAAACCTTTAGGGGAGCAAAGGCTTCTTATATTTTTGGTGTGAGCTTAGCCTTTAACGGCTGAGCCATCCCTTCACCTCACAAAGGTTTCTTAAAAAGTCAGAGGAACATCTATTTTCCCTAACTTTTCCCACTGCTAAATAGCCCATCCCCCAGGACAAAGGCAACTCTGCCTTGGTTTTCTTGGCTAATTTGCCCAAGACTGTACAAATATCCCAGGGGGCCACTCAGGGGCTTCATGCTAAAATGGATGACATTACTGAGACTGCAGGGTACAGGCTAGGGAGGCCAGGCACAATTCCAGCATCAGCATCACCCTCCTGGGATTAGATGGGACCCAAGCAAACCCTGGATGCCAAGACTGTGGGCCAAGGGCCCGTACCGTTGAGGAGGGCCCCTACTGCCTGCTGCAGGGAATTGGAAGACGGAAAGACCTGGAACGCCTGTGGAAGAGACACACCTTCCTGCGCTGGGCACCCTGTGAGCTGGAATTAAGCCAGCAGCCGCCTCTGGAATCTTCGTACCAGACTGATTTCCGGTCAGCCTCGGGACTCAGTAGGCTCCCGCAGCGCCTTGTCCACTTCATGCAGGTCCAGCCTCCCTATGTCAACACCACCTACCAGCACAACTTCTGCCGGCCATCTCGGGGTGGCCACTGTGGTAGCGCCAAGGTAAGGCCCCAAGAGCCAGTCACTGAAACCCTGCCTGACCTCCCGGGTATCCCGAGGCCCAAGTTGCTACAGCACTACCTTCACGCTGGAGTTTCTGAGTGTTTAAACTGGTCCCACGCATTAAACAGGTTCAGCTGACATGGCCTGTTTGTACTGACAGCCCAAGATGTCTCTGGGGCCTGTGATCAGCTCAATACCAGGTTCTATGTCTGGCTCCCATGGCATTTGAGCCAATGTTTATGTGCTGGGCTGAGGAGAACCTATCCAGGGAACCCTGCCACTAAGTGAGAAAAGACAGGGCCTGCCACAGACTCAGCTCACAGACTCAGAGTCCAGGGCAGTCACCTTGACCACAGGTGCATTCTAGGCTCCCAAGAACTTCTCAGGAACTATTGCCTCTTGCACTCGGTACAGGGAACACAGAACCTGAGGGTCCTAGAGAGCAGCCAAGGCTGAGGGAGGGAGTGGAGAGCGGCAAGGGCTGGCAGCTCCCTCCAGGAGCCAGGTGTCTTGAAGGGTTTGACAGTTCAGCCACAGTCCTGTCCCAGAGACTGCCCCAGCCACCACGCCACTGAGCCGCTGCTTCCTTGGTGGTTGTGCAGAACCTTTGAGGAGACACTGTGTGCCTTGGATCTGAAGGTCATCCTAACCTTGTGAAATTATACTGTTTTTGGAAGTTCTTCTCTGGTCATCCTACCAAGTCCTCTGACACTCAGGTAACCTTATGTTACCTAAGACAAAGCTGAGGCTTAGGTGGAGGCTCTTTAGTGACCCAGGTCACTTTAGTATGGCTATGAGGCTTAAGCTTCCTGTGGACTCTCATCCCTGGGAGAGTGAGGCCTCCCAAGGAGCGCAGGGAACATCATGAGTGGCTGCATCAGAAGCCATACAACAGGTCTCATCGGTATTTTTATTTCTAAATCGAAACTCCCTGGGTCCTCACAACAGCCCTGCGAGGTAGGTGGGGCGGGAAAGTTCCAGAGATCCCCATTTACAAATGAGGATTCCGAGGCACAGAGAGGTGGGACAACTTGACTTGCCCAGGTCATACAACCGTCAGTATGGAGGGCACAAAGTCAGCAGCCCCCGCCCCCCATATTCTCTCCACTGTCTCTTCTACGCTCTCCAGCCTCAGAACACTTCTGGGGTCCACAGGGACCCTCGGGGAAGGCTGGAAGCTCAGAGTTTTCCAGAATGGCCACTGGAGAAGGCCTGGTCAACTCTTGGGCCTCTCCTGTGAGGCCAACATTCTCCTCTTCACACTCAGAGTTGACAGAGGGCCTAGTAAGTGCTAGGCATGGATGGAGCTAGCTAAGGTTGTGAGTGGACAGTGGTAAAAATAGGTGTAAGCATGTGTGTCCTGTGCTAAAGACAAAGGCTCCTCCAACCCCTGTCCCTAAGGCGGTAACTCAGGCATCCTCTCCTGTGCCTCCCTCATGAGGAGCACCCTCAGCAGCAAAAAAGGAGCCCAGTCTGCTTCTACACTGAGCTGCTCGGGCAGACAAGGTCTCACCAGGCCTTCAGACCCCATCGCGAAGACACAGTGCCTCCACAGCTTGACTGGGGCCCTGGGCCACACCCCCAATAACAAACAGCCGGGACCCAGCCTGTAGACTGGAACAGGAGCATCGGGCTGTAGGCATGGCAGGCAGTGCCTCCCAGCGTCGCCGCGCAAGACTGAAGCTCTCCACGGAGGCCAGAGGGCACGGCTGGTTCCCTGGAGGAAGGAGACAGAGAGTGATAAGGGGCTGAAGACCCTTCTGCTCCCTTCCCCAAACAGTGGCCCAGTAAGTACTACCTCACCACCAGCTATCAGTGCTTTGCTCTTCATCGCCCAGTTCATCTTTGTTCATTCGTTCATTCATTGCCCAGGTCATCTTTGTTCACTCGTTCATTCATTCATTCATTCATTCATTCATGATTTGATAATCTATTCTGTTTCTGTCAGAGCCCCCAGCCAGGTGCTAGTGGACACCCTGAGAGCTAGGGCAATCACAAGCTCCCTGATTTACAGATGGGCCAAACGCTCACAGAGCACTGACCTCAGAGTCTAGAGAAGGTGGTCCTGCTAGGAGATGCTCTTTTCTGCTCTTTGCCATCTTTTCCTCAGCCCCACAGACTTACCAAGGCCCCCAATGGCCACAATGTTGCCCCCAAGGGAGCCCACCACAAAGTCAGCCCTCTTATCCCTCATCCGCAGGCTACGAGGCAGCTTAGTCCAGGACCCTGGGGGAGAGAAGATGTAAGATGTATGCACACAGACATGAACAGACTCGAGGGCACACGCAAACATGCACAGGCGTGCACGCACAATCACAAGCAGGCACACACACACACACACACACACACATGCCTCCCTTGTGTACCATGGGGAGCAGGGCAGACTACAAGAGGCATTGCTCACCATGTTCCAGATCAAACATCTCCACAGTGTTGACAAAGTGGGGGCGGGAGTAGAAATTATGAGGCCCGGGCTGCTGCAGGCCACCCAGGCTAAAGACACTGCCTTCAGCCATAGCACAGCCAGCAAAGGCTCGTCGGCTGGGCAGGCTTGGGTGTCGGGTCCATGTACGGGTCTCCAGATCAAAAGCTTCAAAAGCAGTCACTGGGAGCTTGCCCTGGCGGCCTCCTGTCAAAGGAATTAAAGCACCTGGGACAGAGCCCAGAGGGCTTGGGGGCATCCTTACCTGGTGGCTGAACTGTCCATCCCCGGCTACTACACCCAGCTGTGTACACCCCTGACTATGGGTCGTTCATGAGACCATATAAACCCTCAGGCACTGAATTTGATTTTCCAATCCCAGTTGGGTCTCCAAGGAGGCCTTAGAATAGGTCTGGATTATCCCCAACAAAACTTCTCAGATCCTAACATCTCAGGTTAAGGTTGATCCCTAATCCACAACCTACAAGGGATGGAATCACCTGGACTCTTTTCTTCCCCTTTCCCACATCCCTCAGCCCTTACCCAGGACATAGATCTTGTTCCCGTGCAGGAAGGTGGAGGCCCCGTAGCAGGGTGTGGGCATGGAGGGTAGCGAAAGCCAGCAGTCCCGGCGGGGCTCATATACCCGTACCTGGGCCTGGGGGGCCGTGTCAGGACCCATTCCCCCCAGAGCATACACCATACCATCTGCACAGAAAAGAGTAGTTCAGACCACACAACCATGTCTGGCTGGTGAGCCCCACACTGACAGCTCCCTTGGTCAGGCCCAGGGGTGGATGGATGGAGACCCATGTGTTTGTCACAAACTTTGTTACCCATCTCAAGTGGGAACTAAGAGAGCTGGGATTCCAGCTTTGGCCTAGGCCCCTCCAAGTGAAGAGCAGGAGGCAGCTGATCTAATTATAATCCAGCACGGTCTCCCTGGAGACGCTATGGCAACCAAATCTGGCATCTAAGCAGGCTAGCTTGGACTGGTGGTCAGACCTGGAGGCCACAAGGTGTCTGTGTGTGTGTGTGTGTGTGTGTGTGTGTGTGTGTGATTGGTGGGGGAGGAGTCCCCTAATGGGGGAGGGGAAGAGTAGGTTAACACAGTGGTAGAGGGGATAAGGAGATTTGCTCAGCCTGAGAAGGGAACTGAGGAATCAACTAGGTGAAGGCCTGGGGCTGGGAGATGAGCCTGGGCCTATGGGACAGAGCCTTGAGTCCCTGGCAGCCTGCCAGCACCGCTGTACCATGTCGTTTCACTAGAGTAGGTTCTTGCCTTCTGTTAGGTGCTCAGAGTCTGCTAGGGGCACATTGACAGGCCTTTGGGTGAGGTCAGGCAGCCAGGGGCTTCCATGGCAACCATCTCCAGGTCGGCTTGGCCTTTGTCCACATCAGGATCCCTGGTGTGTGTGTGTGTGTGTGTGTGTGTGTGTGTGTGTGTGTGGTGGGGGGAGGTCTAAGCACTTAAGCACTTGCTGGGCTCAGAGCCAAGGCCTTGCTCCCCTCCCCCACTCCAGACTATTTATAACTATGAGAGTCATTAGGCCACACACCCCCCCCCACTGTCTCTTAGTAACAAAGAACAGGACAGGGTAATGGCTGGGGTCTCCCATCTTTCTGGGGGGCCTTCTGGGCTCTGATCCCCCACCTCATAGCCCAGAAAAGGCAATTAACAGCAAATTGCAGAAAGCCTAGGTAAGGGAGGAGACAGGAGGCAAAGCCATGTCCAAGGCAAGGCCTATGCCGTGTCTGAGATAATGGACCCTGTCAGGGGAAGAAAAAATGAAGGCTGTAGGGGCACCTGAGGGATTCCGTGATAAAGCCACTCACCTCTCTCCACAGTTGCAACCCCCATGGCTGCTTGAGGGAGGGTAGCCCGACGTTCCCAGCGGCCTTCGTCAGCCAAGAAGGCCTCCACCGCAGCTACTGGGCTCTGGACTTCATCCACACCACCCACCACTAGCACCTGCTTGCCCAGAACCACAGCAGCTGCACCAGCCCGGGCAGTGGGTAGGGGTGCTAATGCCAGCCATGTATGTGAGGCCATGTCCAGTGTCTCAGCAGTGTCCAGAGGTAGCCCAGCCCGGCCACAGCCCCCCAACACCAACAGGTGCCCATCTTGGTGTGCCACGGCACCATATACCCGACAAGTGGGCATGGGGGGGAACGCCTGCCAAGCAAAGGCCCGGCCTCCTCCTGCAGCCATACTGCTCACTGCCAGTGGCAGGCCATGCTATGTGCTTAGGCTGCGGGCCTCACTGGGGAGACACGATAGGGCCCCATCTTGACTCTGCCGGGCTGAAAGCGTGTATCTGACCAGTTCAAGGGACCTTGCCTTCACCTGGAGGAGAGATGGAGAACAAAGGATCAGGACCACTGTCAAGAAACAGATGAACAACACATAGCTAAAGGCAGGCCAGGCCCCAAATCACTGGTGGGGAAGGACCCGCCCTCTTTGACCAGCACTGTACTGGTGAAGACCCTTTGTAGTTTGGAAGGAGAACAGACTCTAGATACCCACACAGCTTTCATTTCCCATAGGGGCATGAGGGACTATCCCCACGCCCAACCCTAAATTTCAGCAACTAGCAACTTCCTTCGCTTGGAGTGAAAGGGGAGGTAAAATGCCTAGACCCAACTCTCCATCCCAGTGTACTTCCTCCCAATATGGCTTATCCTGGTTTTCCAGAGAGGAGTCCTGAATCCTCTGCACACTGGCATCTAGTGTCCCTTGGACAACCATTAGGGCCCCTCTCCTGCAGTCCTTAATCAAGGAGTGTCCCATTCTACAAAGTGCAACCATTTACAGCAGCAAACAGCCAGTCTTAGGTGTGAAGGATTCAAAGGGGACACTCAGGTTTCCACACTCCCTTTGAAGTCCACCTCAGGGGTGTGGCAATGCCAGCAGATTCCTTGCTGAGGAGGGATGGGGGAACTGGTGTGGGCAATCTCATGAATACAGGATTTGAAGGTACCTGAGTCCAGGGCTTTTCGTGTGGGAATAAACAGCTGGATCCTGAGCCCCCTAAGGTCACATTCCTTAACCTCCCCTTTTGCTCTGTGGGTGAGTGTGTGTGTGTGTGGTGTGTATGTCTGTGTTGGGGGTCTCCACTCTGTCTCGCGACTTGGCAGGACAGCCTCCTGGCCCCAAACTTCCAACTCGAAGCAGAGTGGGGGGCGGGTCTGGCCAGTGGGCTTAATAAAGGCTCTAAGCTTCATGCCCCAAACTTCCCCCCTGAGCAAGGCTCCCGCGGGACTCACCCGCTGGATCTCTGATGTCGCCAGGACACGGGGTCCACTGTTCCGCCTCCGCTGACGCTGGCTCTGGCTAGGGCTGCAGCTGGGCTCCGGTGGGGCTCCCGCACCGCTCCGGCGTGGGGCGGGGCTGGTCCAGGTCCGCCCCTCGCTCCCCCCTCCCCAGATTCGGGGAAACCTCCTCCTGCCTTAACTCTGCACATGCCACAGCAGGAGTAGGGCTCACCGACCCACGGTCACCCAAAATGAACAAGCAGGCATATGGACATCCGGTCGGCTAGGATTTCGGGTTCTACCTGGGGCGATGATAGAAATGAGGCGGTGGCGATCAACACAGCACCGGCATGAGGAGATCGGAGGCGGGTGTCATTCTGTGTTAGATCCACTCTGGGTACTTTCAGCAGGAGCTAGCCAGTGGAACCTGGGGCCTTAAGGGGTCGGAGCCCGCCCATCACAACTGAGCATGGAGGTGCCCAACAACCAGCTTTTCAGCGGCGCCCCCTGGAGGCCGCTAGGGCTGTAGCCTGGGCCTCTGGTTGGGGAGCCCAGCTGCCCTGTCTTAACCAGGACACAACCATAACACAAAGCCAGATGCAGAATAGATTCTGGGACTACTAGCAGGTGGGGTGGAGGAGACTACTGTACTAGCCTTAGGACCTATCCAGCCCTACTTTACAGAGACTAGGTTCTTCTTGGTTAGAAGTGAGCAGGTGAGCTAAACCAGACAGGCCTCGGTCTCTCTGCCTAATCCTATAAATCCTGAATGCGGCTACTCTGAGGCCTGGTGACTGTCCATCTTCAGGGTACAGAGCTTGCCTCTAGCCAACCCTGTGGTCACGTTGAAAGCAAACTGATGTGACAAAGACCCACCCATCTCTGGCTCACACCTCGGCCCAGCCTATCTCATGAGCACTCCGAGCCCTGAGGGAACACCCCTAGCGGGTGGCTATTCCTGCTCGCTTGCTGCTTTGCTCCCCTTTCGTGTGCAGTGTTTACCTTAATTTTCCCAAAGCAGATCCCGGGACCATGACACAAGTGCGTGTAGTTAGTGTGGGAGGGAGGCAGGAAGCACCAGCAGAGGAGTAGCAAGACAAGCAGCCAATGAAGGAGGTGTTATCAAACGAGTCACACTCTGGGTGACTGGGACCAGATCCTCTGGGGATTCCGGGTGCTGATCAGGAACGCGGAACACACATTGTTGCTGCTCCCATGGGCAAGGGGATCTAAGGAGTTCATCTTCACATCCCATCAATCACATGTTGAGAGCTGTTTGGGGGCACTAATGCCTTCGCCTGCCCGACTTTTTGCCTGTCCAGAATGTGGGTGAGTGTTTTCTCGTGATTAACTCGAACCTATAGCTCTTTCAGAAGTTGGTGGTTGGAAGTGGAGGGCATACACACACATGTTGGTGCAGACTGCTTACAAACCGCACAGACTCTCAAAGGCCTCTGTCTCTTATGCAACTTCTCCCATTCCCCAGATTGCTCCTCTCTTGGGACAAGACACTGGTATCTACCCCACAGTGTCACACCTATTCCTTATCACCAGTGTCCTCTTTCTTCCTAAGCACCTTCCATTTTCTTTCCAGCCGTTAACCATTTACAAGCTGGCTGCTTTTAAATGTTTCCCAGCACTAAGTCAAGGTCATCTCTTCTTGATGCCTCCAAATTTTGAAGCCGTCTGTCCCCACAGACTTTTTATCTGCCACCTCAGTCTATTGCCACTTCTTTATCCAAATTGCTTTCAAAACAATTGGTTTTGGGGGGCTGGAGAGATGGCTCAGTGGTTTGAAGCTGTGGCTGCTCTTCCAGAGGACCTGGGTTCAATTCCCAGCACCCACATGGCAGCTCATAACTCACACAGACACACTCACATAGACACTCATGCAGGCAAAGCATCAATGCACACAAAATAAAAATAAATTTTAAAAATTGGTCTTTTTTTTTTTTCTGCTTTGAGATAGAGTCTCCCATAGCTCAGGCTGGTCTTGAACTTCCTACATAGCCAAGGATGTCTGAATCTCTGATTCTTTTATCTCATCCTCCCAAATACTGGGATTACAGGCATACCACCTTGCCCAGTTTGTACAGTGATGAGGCGTGAACCCAGGCTTCCTGGTTCTAAACAAGTACTCTACCAACTGAGCTGTATCTCCTGCCACCAAAATTGCTTTTGAAAAGTCACCATCCATATTACCCAAGATTCTCTAGGGGAACAAAACTAATAGAATGAATACACACTACAAGAGGATTTAAGTGGTGGTGCATGACTTTAATCCCAGCACTCAGGAGGCAGAGGCAGGTGGATCTCTGTGAGTTTGATGCCAGTCTGGTTTACAGAGCTAGTTCCAGGACAGCCAGGGCAATACAGGAAAAACCCTGTCTCCATAACAAACAAAAACAAGAAATTTAGACAACAGATACATGATTCAGAGGTTAAGAGCATGGCTGCTCTTACAGAGGGTCTGGATTTGGTTCCCGGCACCCACATGGTGGTTTACAACTGTCTGTAATGACCTGACACCCTCTACTGATCCTGCAGGCACCAGGTATGTCCATGGTATACAGTATACATACAGGCAAAACACTCATATGCATAAACCTTTTTATTTTAATTAAGGAAAAAAGATTTATGGGATGGAAAGATGGTTCAGAGGTTAAGAACACTGCCTGCTCTTCCAAAGGTCCTGAGTTCAATTCCCAGCAACCACATGGTGGCTCAGAACCATCTGTAATGCGATCTGGTGCCCTCTTGGCATTCAGGGATATATGCAGGCAGAAAACTGTATACATAATAAATAAATATTTAAAACAAAAAGGGTTTATTGGGGATGGAGAGATGGCTCATTGGTTAAAAGCACTGACTGATCTTCTAGAGGACCTGAGTTCAATTCCAAGCACCCACATGGTGGCTCACAGCTGTCTGTAATTTCAATTCCAGGGGACCTGACACTCTCATACAGACATACATGCAGGCAAAACACCAATGCACATGAAATAAGATAAAAAATTGTTTCTAAAAAGGACTTACTAGACTTGCTTAAATCATCCAGTCTGGGCAGTGTAACAGTGCCACTGTTTGCACTGGGCAGGCTAAGGATGCAGTGGTGATTTGGTCCTGGAGTCTGGGCACCTCAGCAGTCCCAATCTAGCACTGAAATCCTGGAAAATTTCTGGAGAAACCACTAGTCTTCAGTGCACATTAGATTCCTGAAGAAGCTGGGTTCTGGTATCAGTGGGCAAATGATGTTGGTGGCAGAGTTGGCGGCAGCAGCAGCAGCAGCATCCGATTAGAGGAACTGGCCAGCAAGACTCAGGATGGTGAGAAGGAAAAAGAAGCCACAATCAGAATGTTTTTTCTCAAGTGTGTCCAGGGCTTTTATCTTTTAGTTGGTTTCACTTCCAATCAAAGGCCGAAGGGTGCACCTTTTATCCCAGCCGCTGAGAGGCAGAGACAGGCAGATTTCTGTGAGTCTGAAAACAGCCTGGTCAACAGGGAATTCCAGGTCAGGCAGAACAATATAATAAGTTCTTGTCTCAACAACATGGATGGACAGATGGCTCAGCAGTTAAGAGTACATCCCACAAAGGACCCGAGTTTGGTTCCCAGTACCTAGATTGGGCTGCTCACAACCACCAAGTCTAGGGAATCCAATGCCCTCTCTTGGACTCAATGGGCACTGCATGTATACATCCATACATCACATACTCAAATTTTAAAAAACAGTAGAAGCCAGATCCAGTCAAATTGATGATCAAAATTAACCATCATGACACACAACCATAAAGCTAGGGTTACCCTGTTGGTGAGATTTTGTAGGCTCTTCAAAGCTTCACCCTTTGTGACCTCAAATCCTTGCTGGCAGGTTATCTTGCCTTTTCTTTGGCAGGACCTTCTCACCTTCTCAGGGAGTAGCTTGACTTAGTCCTATAATTTAGTGATACTGTCTCAAAGGTGGGGCTTGGGACTCCAGAGCTAGCTCAGTTGGCAGTGATTGCTGTACAAGCATGAGGATCTAAGTTTGATCCCTAGAACCTACAGTTTTAAAAATCCTGGTAAGGAGCTCGGTGGTGGTGGTGCATGCCTTTAATCCCAGAACTCCGGAGGCAGAGGCAGGTGGATCTCTGTTAGTTTGAGACCAGCCTGGTCTACAAGAGCTAGTTCCAGGATAGCCGCCAAAGCCACAGAGAAATCCTGTCTCAAACAAACAAACAAAAAACAAAAACAACGACAACAAAATAAAACAAAAAAATCCTCATGTGGAGCCTGGCATCCCAGTACTCTACATCAATAGTTCCAGGACAGCCAGAGCTACACTAAGACCATGTTTCAAAAAACAAAAAAACAGATCCAGGTGTGAGACTGTAGAGATTCAGCAGGTGGAACACATGTCCTATAAGCAGTGGCATTCTCTAGAACCCACATACAAGCCAGGTAGGTATGGCAGTTGGCTTGCCAGAGTACGAGAGGCATCAAATCCCAGACTAGGCAAAATGATGGGCTCCAGGTTCAGCCTGTGACCTTATCTCAATATATATGATGGGGGGGCAGGGCTGGTGAGTTGACTCAAGGGTAAAAGTGCCCGCTGCCAAGTCTGACAACTTGAGTTTGATTCCAGAGAACCACATGATAGAAACAGTTCCTAAAAGTTGTCCTTTGACCTCTACACCAGTGCTGTGGAAAAGTATACCAAGAATGAAAACACAAATAATATTAAAAAATGAAACGTTGCTATGCAGTGGTGTTGCATGCCTTTAATCTCAGCATTTGGGAGGCAGAGGCTGGCAGATCTCTGTGGCGATAGCTTGCTTGTACAAATAAAGCCTGTCTGAAGGTCAGAGAACGGAGCTTGCCACTAGCTAACCATAGAGGTCTGGAGGTCTGTACAGACAGGCAGGAAGTGAGATAGCTGGGTGGAAACAGGATATAAGCAGGGAGAAACAGGAGCTCACTCTCTCGTCTGCTGAGATACTGAGGAGGTAAGGTCTGGTGGTGGCTTGCTCCTCTCAGCATTTTCCTCTATACTTGAATCAGGGTTTTTATTACTTAGACCAATTAAAAAGTCCGTTTACAGATCTCTGTGAGTTCTAGGCCAGCCTGGTCTACAGAGCATGTTCTAGGACAGCCAGGGACCCTGTCTGGAAAATCCAAAAAGAAAAAAAGGAAGAAGCAAGGAAAGAAAAGCCAGGCATGGTGGTGCATATGTATAATCCCAGTGCTAGGATTTGTAATCCCAGTACCAAGGAAGTGAAAGCAGGAGAATCTTTGACTTGCTGGCCAGGTAGACTAGCCAACTGAGAGAGACCTTTCTTCTTTCTTTGAGACCGGGTTTCCCTGTGTGGCCCCTACTATCTTGGAACTCTGGAATCCAGGACTGATCTTTGTGAGCTCAAGGCCACCCTGGTCTGGTCTATGCAGTGAGTTTCAGACCAGTCAGAACTACGGAGTGAGACTCTGGCTCAAAACAACAACAAAGATAGCTCCTGAGTAACAATGACATCTACATTTGTCTTAAACACATGCGCATGCACTATTTACTTGCCTAGCATACATAGTACCTAGGCTTATTGATGTTTAATAAGGATCAGGAGAAACAAATAGGCCAAATAGATATTTATTCAGGGAGAAATAATTTACAACATAGACAGATGAACACCAGCAGGTTCCTGGTCCCAAGAATGCCTCCAGATGTGCTCCTGTCCCCCTGCTTCAAGCAAGAGAGTTCTCTGAGACCCTTCTTCAGATTTAGTCCCCCCAGGCCCGGCTCTGTCTCCACCCCAATGGGTGTGGTCTATGCCACAGGTGCTGACAAAGTGAATATCTCACTTCATAGGCTCCCTCACCAGACCCCATGCCCCCAAATAGATTTGTCTCTGGCTTTCCAAAGTAGCAAATTTAGAACCTATTGGGACAGTATTTCCCAAGATGCATCCTTCTCCACCAGATTACCAGTTTTCTCCGCTCACTAAGTGTGGGCTGACCTCACTAACAACCATGTAAGTTGTCAAATGGAGACCAAGAGACAGATCACTGAAACACCTTGTGTCTCGTTCCTCCTCCTCATCTCACTTGGGCTATGCCTATGTAGAGTCAGCAGCTATCGAAGGCTACAGGGCAAGTAAAACCTGTGCTCCAATGACTGTCCCCGAGAGTTCTTCCTCAGGCTTAATACCAGAATACCCTTCTGATAGATTGGGTACCCCCAACCTTCATCATTCCTTCAGTAACCATAGAGAGAAGGGACAGAGCTAGAATGGACCTAGCCTTCTTTTGGACTGGACAAACCAGAGAGGAATCTCCTTCTGGGACACACCTGGGCCACTGTCGTCCCAGGAGGCACCAGGGGCTGCCTCTTCACGAAAGTGGCTTCTGTATGCATAGTCATGTCTCAACTGCTTCGGAAGACAAAGTGCCTGATAGTGAAGTTAGATTGGTCCCCGGAGTGAACAGACAATCCTGACCTCCTACAATGGACAAGGACAGAGTAGGGCTCACCTACGCTGGAGATATTGTGGAACTTCCTGATGTAGGCCCATAAGGCCCTTTCTTTTTCTCTACCAAGAGAAATAGTTCAAAGCACTGATCCCAGACTATCAGGAGATTTTGTTATCCTATGGGATGCTTTGGCTACCCTTGAAGACACTCAGGCTCTCCCATCAGTGTCAAGGCCCTGAGACCTTGGACATTGTTGAGTGGAATGGATATTTACATTTAGAGATACCTGGATCCCTCTGTATAGCATGGGTAATAGAGAACAGCTAAAGGATCTCAGAGCCACATGAGGAAAGAAGAAGTATTCCACATGAAGCATTCCAGCCACTTTCTTCTATCTCAACACCAAAGGTAGCATCATTGTGAGGGTTCAGGAACAGAGCTGTAGCAATATTTCTATCTTCTGACTCAGGTTCTGTGAAAGGGCCAAATGCCTGTACTACCTCATCCATGAGACCAATGCTTTCCTGATGGCTCCCAACCTGGACTAGGAAGCAGCTGTCAGGTGGGCACTTTAAGAGTAGTGGAGCCAGGCATGGTGGTGACTTTGACACATGCAGTCTAGGACTACGCAGAGAGACATCATCTTAAAAAAAAGCTTTGGAACCCATATTGACTGTTCATGTGAGGTCTCAGATTCCTAGGGTTAATTCTGACCTGCGTCCTCAAGTGCTGAGGAGTGGGCTCTAACCACTCTTTGTCGCCTACAGGACATAGGTAGAAAGACTGGCTTTGCAACCTCCCTAGCCATAGGATGGGGATTCTGAGCAATATTAAGACTGAAAGTGGCACTTTGTGCCGTAGAAGGGCAGTGGCTGAGCCAAATCTTGGTGCTACCCCTGGGCAAGCATATTCAGGCCCACACTGCTTTACTGTGACTTACAGCCTGGCCATCTAGATCCCATGCTTCTGTGTATCAGTTGTGCCCACCTGTATATACCAGCTTTTCATGCAATATGCCAGGGATCTGCTATCCTTGGAGGAGATACTTCTGTGGTGAAACAAGGGGACTATCCTGAGACACTCCTTAACAGGCACACTCCTTTTTTGACCTTCTGATCAGTTGCCTGAGAAAGAAGCAGGCCCTAGACCTTGACAGGCATCACCCTCATGTCCTGTTCTATACACCAGGTCGTTTAAGAAAAATGTTAAATAAGCCCCTAGTCAAATCAGAGCTGAACACCTGTGACTCTTGCCACCTACGTGCTACCGACTCCCATACTGGGTCAGATAGGTTTGGACTTGTGTTTGTGGCCACCACCTCCAGGCAGCCCTCCCTGGTACTCAACCTGCCCCGGCCCCAGACTTGGGGAAGTGCTAGAGGTCAAAGGTCACCAGGAGGGCCAGGTCCCGGAAGCGGAAGCGCAGTGCACTTCCGTCGCGCAGCAGGCGGCCATGTTGGAGCGGCGGAGGCGGCGCAGAGGTGCGTCCTGGGTCCCAGCGGCGGCGCCGGTAGGTTGGAGCCGCGGGCCTAACGGGGCTGCGGAGTGGCGGCCCGTGAGGCCGCAGGGCGGCAGGGCGAAGGGGCTGGGTGGTCGACCCTCCCGGATCCTCATCTCCCCGGGCTTGGCCGAGACACCCCACCCCCACCCAGACCCCACCCTGGGGCTGTGCGCATCCCGTCGGGCTACCACTGTCCACCTTACACATTCGCCGCCGCCGTGACCCCGACTCCCTGTCGCCGTTCGGGCCCCGGGGACGCGGTCTCCCCGCCTGAGGGCCCCGATCTGCCCCCGACCCCAGGCTGCCTGATTAGTACTTCACCCACCCCCCAGTCTTCGGTCAACTTCCCCAGCTGGCTGGCCCCAAAGGAATGTGTGAAGGCCAGTGTGCCTGGCTGCACTCTGTTTACAAGGCTGCACCCTCCCGAGGGCTCAGACCGACCTAGGCCCCCGCCACCCAGTATTAGCGCTGGAGGTTTGGGATGGTCCCTCTCTGTTATACAGTTCACAGCCTACCCCGTCAAAAAAATAAATAAATAAAAGAACTAAAGTCACGTGCAAGGATTGTACTTGAAGAGCATCCTCTGGGGGAGGGGAAGTGCCTCAGACACCTGAGGATCCAAGAATGTTTCCAAACAAAGAGCCCCAGGGCACTTTCTCCGGGGATTCTGAAGCCTGTACGTCTGCTCCATTAGAGTTGTGCAAAGCGGCAGCACAGACGGGCCACGAGGCCCCAGGGATCAGTCTCACCCCAGCTGGTCTTTTAATGCTCCCGTGCAGCTGGGGAGTTTAACTCTAGAAGCCCTCAAATGCTGCTAGAGATGCTGGGTGTTGCTCATGATTGACGGCCATCACTTCTTTATGGAAGCCTAGGGCCCAGACAACTGCGTCTGTGCTATACTGAGGTCTGTTTCCCTGTATAGAGTCTAGTTAGGATAGCTCAGATTTTAATGGCCGCCCTACCTATTTTCTTAGACCGAACCTTAGCATCCATTGTCTTCAAACCTTGGACTCCTTGGTCTAGCTGCCTGGCCCCTCTTGCCTTAGACATGTTTGCAACTGTTATTCAAACAGCTTTTTTTTTTTTTTTTTTAAGAGTCTGGCTCTTTTATTGGTGTTGAACTCCAAGACTAGAGCAAGGCATTGGGCTTTGGAGTAGCCTATCTACAGACTCCAAAGGCAGAATCAGTGCTAGGCAGGGAGATCACCACCCTGGATGAACTTGTGAGGATGGACGTAGAGTGTAAGTCTGGACCTTTGGGCCTATGTCTTTCAGCTGGCCTCTCAGCATCCCCCACCTGTTTGGTTCTCTCTTCATAGCCATTTCATAATCTATACTCTTCTTTGCTCCATTTGTACCTACTTCTTCCTTCCTTCCTTCCTTTCTTTCTTTTTTTTTGTCACTCAGCTGTAGAGTTCTGCTCCTCCCAGGACTCCTTCCCTAATCTCTTAGTAAACTGACCTGGGTAACACCATAAACTCCCAGGAAACTTAATGGTTGTCTGTGTCTTGACTTCAGGACTGGACTCTTTGAGGATAGAGATATTTTCTGGTTTTCCTGGGACTGAGTCTGGATATTTGGCATGAGAACAAACAGAAACCCCCAAGCATGGCAGAACAAGCATGTGGTTCCAGCTGCTTGGGGGCCTGAGTGGGAAAATAGCTTGCACCAACCAATCCAAGACCAGCCTGGCAACATAGCAAGCTCCATTTCAAAGAAAAGGAAAAACGTAGACTTGAGCTGAGCTCTAGACACACATTTGTAATCCTAACACATGGGAGGTTGCAGCAGGAGGGTTACCAATTCGAGGCCAGTTTGGACTATGGGGCAAGCTGCAGGGCAGCCCGAGCTACATAGTGAGACCCCCATGTCCCCAGCAACGGGAAGGTAGTAGCGGTGCTTTCTGTAATCCCAGCCCTCCGAAGCCAGTGGCAGAGAGATAGGACTCAAGGCCAGGCTAGCCTGTGTGACACCTCGTGTTAAAGCAGGAAGAGAAAAATGCCATTGAATTAAAATGAGCTAGACTTGGATCTTCCCAGAAGTCCAGCAGTAGGTTGATGGCTCTGGGGTGCTGCTGAGCATGCATCCTAAAGAAACACCAACATGGTAGAGGACCAGGAAGTGATTTATTCCAGCCAGGCCCTTCAGTCAGAGTGGGAGCCTTGCTTGACTTCCAACCTGTTCTAGTTCATACCCTGGTACCATCCTTCTCAACTCTTTTCTTTTTGCTTTGGAGGTGCCAAGTGCTGGTTTGTGGATACCCAGGCAGATCTGCAGTGCCTAATGCCATGAGCATGGTAGTGCACCATGTGGAGGAGAAAGCGGTACACTCCTGGTCACGCATCTCCACGGCAGGGAAGAAAGCCCTGGAAGAGGCACTGCTTGTGTTTAATCCCATGAGCCAGGATCTCAGTGCCACAGAGGCCCAGCTTGTAGCCTTCCTACAGGGCCTGCGAGACGATGGCTTCCAACCGACCATTCTGCGAAGTGGTGATGTCTATGGCTATAGTTCATGCACAGCCAACCCTCCCAGCCAGACAAAGCTACAAGCTCGCACCACCAACCCATCTGCCACATCACTTCCCTCCAGGGCTCCCCAAACTGCTGTGTCGCTACCTGCCAGCCAGGCCGCTCTGCTCCCTGTGCCAATGTCTGGCAGGCTGGCTAAGGGGTCCACACCAGCCCTTGCCAAGCATGCTACCACTAACCTGCTGCTGAGCTCCCTGAAGCAGTCAAATGGCAGCCACACTAGTGGTGCAACAGTAGGCTTTCCTGCCCACCTCTACCCAGGTGTCTACCCTGCCATGCGGCTCTCTGTGGTCCTGGAAGCACTTGTCCCACTCAAGGCTCCTTGCTTGGGTGCTAAGCACAGGGCACAGTCACTGCAGCTGTCCCTTGCAAGCTCTTCACTGAAACTGAGGAAAGGTTCGGGGAACCCACAGTCCAAAGCATCCGGGAAAATCACAAGCAAGGGCCTCAAATGCCTAAGTAGGAAAGGCCCTGGGGCTGATCGACGAGGCGCTGGTCCCCAGAGCAGTGGCCTGCGCACTAAAGGGTGCTCTGCCTTGGGCACCAAAGCAGTCCGGGCCAAGGCATCTCAAACACTGACCAAAGCTGCTCATGCCCACACCAGTCTAGCTCGAACCCAAAACAAGACAGTAAGGGTCAGGGCCAAGGCAACAAAGTCCAAGCCCAGGGCAGCGGGAGCCAAAACCAAGGTCACTGTGGTAAGGGACAAGGCTAAAGCCAAGGTGGTCAAGGCCAAGGCCAAAGCAGCTCAGACCAAGCACAAGGGAAGGCCAAAAGGCTCTGTTCAGAGCAGAACTGGAAGGACAAGTCTGAAAAGTGGCTCTGAGACTGTGGGCAAGAAGAGGAAGAAGGCGGAGGAGGTAAAGGGTCTTCCTCCTAAGAAGAGAGCGCGGCTTGTGCTCCAGCCTCCTAAGGCATGGCTGCAGCCTGGAGCACAGCCTGGCAAGTCGCAGACTATAAAGGTGGACAGGAAGTCCTCAGACGATGAGGTCCGACAGCGGGCTCAGCAGGTCCTCCGTGTGGACCTCTCTCCCGTAGTGTGGCTCCAGCCACTGATTCCGTACTCAGCATCCTGAGTCATCCTTGGCAGCAGCGCTTGGGAAAACAGTTGTGCTGTCGGTGTGACCAGCATCATAGTGTGCTATGCTCGTGGACTCTGCAGTTTTCCGGTCTCTGGGTACCTCCAGGACCCCTGTGGTCGTCATCCTTTCAGAAGCTGAGGATTTGGGGTGGGGTGGGTAGCGGGAAGGGTGTTCTCGTGGCTCAATGCACTGTGACTTGTTCTTCAAGTTGTACGTCCAATGTTCCATCTATCATGTTTTATACCTTTCCATCTTCCGGTCTCCCTGCTCACCTTCCATGGTCTTATTGATTGATTGATTTTGATGTGTGTGGACTGCTGGCAGGAGTCTGCCAGAAGTCTCCCTAGGAACAGGCTTGGAGAGAATGCCCTGGTAGCTTGAAGCAGGTCATCTGTTTGAATGATAGGGTAATACTATGAAAGGGTAAATCTCCCAGGCATCTGTAGATGTGTGAGAGAGATCCTGAGGGAGGGGCAGAGCCACTGTGAAGTAGGGCACCTCACCTTGAGTGGCCCTGTTTTGGACCAGATGGGCCTCATTCAGGATTGCAAGGCACTCTGGGAAAGCCTGCAGCTCGTGGGTACTGCTCTCTGGGGCTGAGCCTTGAGGCTCTGTGTGAAGGGCTTATCTAGGGGAGGGAACAAGCTGAAAAGGCTGCTGCTCTGCTGAAAGTGACTAGCCTGGGTGTCCCTAGAGGCCCGGCTTGGAATCTGAACCACAAAACCTGCCCTTACTATCCAAAGAATTTTCTCTGTGGTAACTAACTGGTGGATCCAGGAAGGCTTAAACCTGTACCTCAGCAGGGTTTTCTGACTGGATTCCACATGCTCCATCTTGTGCAGGAGTCCAGCCTCACTGTGATGCCTAACATGGCCTGTGGACATTATTAATACCTTCCGCTTTGGAGAAGAGGCTGGGTCCTGAGAGGGAGCAGCTGCTGTACCCATTTGAGGTCCACTGGTAGCCACTGAGGCTGGAGGGTAGTGGCTAGGAAGTAGGGAAGCTGCAATCCCTGCACTTGGGAATTTGAGTACGAGTTTGAGGTCAGTGTCAGTTACATTGTGAGGACCCCCCTCCCACACCCACCCACTCACATCTCTCTCTCTCTCTCTCTCTTTTTTTTTTTTTTTTTTGGTTTTTCAAGACAGTGTTTCTTTGTGTAGCCCCTGGCTGTCTTGGAACTCACTATGTAGATCATGCTGGCCGTGAATTCAGAGATCTACCTGCTGGGAATAAAGGTGTATACCACCAGACCAAGCCAGGGGACTGGAGAGATGGCTTAATGGTTAAGAGGACTTAATTGCTCTTCCAGGGGACCCAAGTTAGAGTCCCACAAAAAAGCAGCTCACAAACACTTGTATCCAGCTTGGGGGTTGGGGGGGTCCCACACCCTTTTACTTCCATGATTACAGGCAGGCAAACACAATTTTTTTAAAAAGGCACAACTGGATAAAGTATCAGCTCTTTGGGAAAAGGCTGTCTTGAGAATCTTGAACTGTAGTGATGTTATAAGCAAAGGAATCACGTGAAGTCCCTTAAATGAAAACTTAATGGCTGGGGCTGGAGAGATGACTCAGAGGCCCAGAGCACTGACTGTTCTTCCGTAAGACCCAGGCTCAGTTCCCAGGGCCTGCCTGGCAGCTCACAGCTGTCTGTAACTTAAGTCAGGGGACCTGATGCCCTTGCCTGCTTTCATTGGGAACAAGAAATAAATGAATAAGAAAGTAAGTTTATTGTCTTTACAACAGTAATAAGGATAATATTAATGATAGACCAAGCCAGGGCTGGGAGATTGATGGCTTAGCAGCTAAAGTACTTTTCTGGGCAGATCCCTAGAGCTCAAGTAAAAGCCTGGTGTGTGCCTGAACAGCAGCACTGGTCAAGTGACAAAACCTAGATTCAGTGAAAGACCTATCCCAAAAAGTAAGATGGGAGGCTAGAGAGGTGGCTCTTGTTAAGAGCGTGTTCTCACACCGATAAGTGGACCTGAGTGGTCTCCACACTAATGTTAAGTCCCTCACAACCACCTGCAACTCTAGTCCCAGGGGATCTGATTCCCTCTTCTGTCCTCCATGGGCCTCAATCTCCCTCTCTCTGTGGATGTGGTGGCACACATCTCTAATCCCAGCACTTAGGCAGCAGAGGCTGGTTGATCTTTGTGAGTTCAAGGCCAACCTGGCCTACTTAGTCAGTTCCAGGATAATCAGGGCTATGTAGAGAGTCTGTTGAGGAAAATAAATAAATGTTCTCTGTCTCTCTGAGACAGAGTCTCACAATGTAGCTTTGAGGGATCTGGCACTTGCCATGTAGAACATCCTAGACTTGACTGCCTAGAGATCACCTGAGTACTGGGATTAAATGCATGCACCACCATGTCCAAAATTTTTAAAAAATATTTTGTTTTGGTTGTTTTGAGACAGGGTTTCTCTGTGTAACCCTGTCTGTATTGGAACTAGGCTGGCTTTTAACTCAAAGATCTTCCTCCCAAGTGCTGGGATTAAATGCATGTACCACTGTCAGATGTAAAATTTTTTTTTTAATTTAAGATTGGGAGCTATAAAGATGACTCAGTTGTTAAAAGCACTTGTTGCTGTTGCAAATGACTAGGGTTAGGTTCCCAGCATCCACAGGGTAGCTCACAACCATCTGTGACTCCAGGTCAATCGGATTTTGCCTTCTTCTGGCCTCTAAGGGCACTGCATGGATATAGTATATAGCCAAACATGCAGGCAAAATAAAAATACATAATTTTTGTTGTTGTTGTTGTTGTTTTTCAAGACAGTGTTTCTCTGTGTAGCCCTGGCTGTCCTAGAACTTACTCTGTAGACCAGGTTGGCCTTGAACTCACAGAGATCTACCTGCCCCTGCCTCTTAAATCCTGGGATAAAAGGTGTGTGCCACCATCACCTGGCTAAAATATATAAATCTTAAAAAAAAAAAAAAAAAAAAAAAAAGATGGAGAAGCAATTGAGGAAGACGTCATCAACCTTTGGCCTTCATATGCACCTGCATAGACAAGAACCCTGTATTATACACACTTTTTCACACAAACACACACTCACAAACACACACACTCAAGATCAAGCAAAGAAAGTGAGGAGGGAGGAAGGAAGCATCCTTCCAAAGTCACATGTATTAGTACACGCATGTACTCCCAGAACTAGGGAATCTGAAACAAGAGAATCTCAAGTTTGAGACCAGCCTGGGCTATACAAGACTCTTGTCTCAGAAAAGAAAAACTGTAAGAGAAAGGGTTGGGGTCGGGGGAAGGGAAGGGGTCCTTGGGACCAAGTGATGATAATAAACATACCTGCCTTTCCATATACCAAGTGGGGCAATGATTCTTCTACCCTTCTTTGAACCAGGAGCAAGCCACCCAAGACATTGGTGGTTTGAAGAATAAAGGGGACACGGTAGCCTATGCACACTGCCATCTTTCTGGAGTCTGTGGAGTTCTTGGTGCTCTACCCTACACCTGGTGGAAGCATAAATTATGTCAGGACAAGATGTATGCAGCAAGGCCGTCAGCCATGCAGGAGAGCACAGGCTGAGACCTGTACCAAGAGTGATGCCTACCACAGGGAAATGTAGGAAGAGTGGTACATGGGAAGGGTGTGACCTGGAAATAGGGCAGGGACCAGGGGCTACAAAACCAGGAGAAGGGCTTCACCCGAAGGTGACGTGAACCGTGGAAAGGATTTGAGCAGGAAAGTGATTTGGAAGGAAACCTGATGGAGGCTGCTTAAATGGTTGTGAGTGAGAGTTGGCATTGTCTGGGATAAGCTTGGACCTTTGGAGAGAGAGGAGGTGAAGATTCAGAAGCTATTAGGAAATGGGGCATGAATGAGCCATGAGGACCTATATGAGAACTGGCAGGTATTGGTGAGTGATAGTGTTCTTACTGATCCCACCACCAGCTCTCAACCCTCCTGCTAAATCATGCTCCTGTCACTGATAAAGGTGGCACCTGAGCTGGAGTCTTAGCTGTTCTGGCCATACATTAATTGCCGGAGTTCCAGGCAGGCTTTGTGGAAACAGTGAAGAAAGGTTTACCCCAACACCATGACTGGGATCCGATCCTGGGGCCACCCATATGGTTCACTGACCACTAAGTGTGTCTTGAGTGGGCAATGCCCCCACTGTCCCCAAATCATTGGTCAATACCTACGACCACCTTGCTTGAAATGTATGCTTTTTGAACTAGCATCTGCAGTGGTTAAGTTTTCAGGGCCAATAGATGTGAGGTCAGGGGTCAATCATTTCCTGTATTGGAATGATTTGATTGCCCTGTCACTCTGCTTAGGGTGCCACTGTACCCTGTAGCAACTTTCACTGAGATAAAATCATCCATTTTGGAGGGAAGCTCCTTAAGACACTGGATGTTGTAAACTTTAGAATCTAAAGGGAGGCGAAACATTCCATTCTTCAGGGAGGCTCTTTAAGACACAGGATGTTCTAAGGGAAGTGAAACATTCCATCCTTCAGGGAGGCTCGTTAAGATACAAGATATTCTGCAGGGCGGTGGTGATACACCCCTTTAATCCCAGCAGACTCAAGTGGATCTCTGTGAGTTTGAGGCCAGCCTGGTCTACAAAGTGAGTCCCAGGATAACTAGAGCTATTACACGCTGGGATCCTGTCTCAAAACAACAAAAAAGATACAAATTATTCTAAGGGGAAGTGAAACATTCCATTCTGCAGGGAAGCTCATTAAGGTCAGCAATTCAGGAAGTCCTTGAAACTGATGGGATTCACTAGGCCCCTCCTGCCCCTAGACATACATAAATAGTGAAGACTGCTTAGAGACATTCCCAGACAAGCTCATCAGCTGGGATCAGGCTGGCTAAGGCTGTCTGGAAGAACTGTCTGGAAGAAACAGATCTGCCAAGCCACCCAGAGGTAGCAGAGACAACAAAGTTGTCTGGATGAGGCTCAGACTGATAACTGATTCTCCAACCTGCAGGCTGTACATTGTGCTCCAGGCTTCCAGCTGTCATGAATTGTCACCCATGCTGGGATAGGCTCTGGTGATACAGTTGTCTTTGGGTCCTGTGTGCGCCTGTAAGTAACTCCAATAAAACTCATTGGTTCATCAGGTTGAACTTTGGGGGTATCTGTACTTCTTCGTTCTGGCCTTGGTTCCCTGCCTGGAGTGTCACACAGAACACTTTGATTATTTAAAGGCAACTTCCTGGAATGCCAGGGGGCTGTTCATGTTAGATAACCAAGCCACGTGTTTTCGTTTCTATAAACAAGGTGGGTTGCCCCAACTGCACAGGATGTGCTTGATCACATGTAGGTGGGAGGCCCATAGGCAGGAAGTATGTCAGGATGTATGCTTGCCTTTAGAAGCGCCTAACATAATTTACAGCCATTTTCTAGGAAGTGAGGTATGGACCTGACCAGTGTCCATTGTCTTGGCCAGTATTTAATGATGTTTGCTTCAATGGCTCAAACGTTGTGATAGTGGTCTTATTCTCAGCCAGTAGGATTAACAATAGAAAGTAGAAAGGCAGGCTTGGTTTGACCTTCAGGGTACCATATTTATTCATGTCGAAGGAAAATTTTGTCTTGTAGCGAGATAGACAAAATGCCTATAAAGGAAGATGGGCGTGGCCCCTCCTGGAAATGACTGCTATAGTCTGTAAGAATGCTGGGAAGTGTAGTCTTTCAGCAGGAAACTATCAAACACTGTCATGCTGCGAGTGCTGCCCACCTGTACTATTTATAATTCTGTGAGGGGGCAGTGCACATGTAGATAAGACTTGGCCGGGTGCAGTGTGACTGTTGCTTCCCTAGCTGGTGGCACCTCCTGCTTGCAAATGTCTCCTGCCATGGGGGGGGGGGTGTATTATGGGTCAGCACTGAGAAAGGTGAGTGCTTCCAGACAATTTCATATACTCCTGCCTTTAGTGTAGTTACTATGGAGACCCCCCATCCTGGGCTTGGACCAGCAGTGGCTTGGGTGCCTTGACTGTGGCCTCTGTTGTAGAAGTTCTTGTTATGTAGATAGCATGAATGGGTACACTTTGTGCTCCTGGTACCTGGACACAGAGATGAGGCATACTTTGCAGCTGCAATGCCCAAGACCCTTTGCAACCAATGTGTCATGTAGTATGTGAGCCTCTGTCATATAGATCATGTGACATTCACCAATTTTGTGGGAATACATGACTACCTATGATGGTTTGTGACTTAAACCTGGTATTAGTGGCCATGTGTGGTCACAAACTGTTGTGAGTCTTTTTGTCCGAGGATGCCTGTGCCCAGTCATATGTATGGCTATGCATTATTATGTGGACAGCCTTATGAATGGGTAATGGAAAGCAGTGGGCATGATAGGGTAGGTAGGTGGGGCTGAGAACGGCCTGAAGAGGCACAGGGGGAAAGATGTGATGGAGAGCTGGTACAGGCAGATCCCCAGAAGCAAGTGTTTCTAGAAGCGCATTGTCAGTGACTGAATGAGATGAAGTCTTAAGCATGTTTAAACCTTAGTGAGGTAGGAGTGGAAGTCATCGTCAAGGGGTGAGCTGGGTGGAGCTGTGATGGGAGATGTCATTCTGTAAATATTTTTCTCCTATTGGTTAATTAATAAAGCACTGTTAGCAAATAGGAAAGCAAGACAGGCAGGATTAGGAGACAAGGAGGATTCTGGGAGATGTAGTGGGAGAGTCAAGATGTATGGACTTGAGAAGAAGGTCCAGACCCTCTCTCCAGTAAGATAAGACCACATGGAAACACTTAGATGAATAGAAATTGGTTAATATTTACGACAGAGCTAGCCAATAAATACTAGTAACTGGCCAACAACTTTATATCTAATACAGCATCTCTGTGTGTTATTTGAGGCTGGCATGGCTGTGGGACCAGCTGGTGGGAAAAACTGTTCATAACAGTGCTGCATGCCCTTAATCCCAGCACTCAGGAGGCAGAGGCAGGCGGATATCCATGAGTTCAAGGCCAGCCTGGTCTACCAAGCTAGTTCCAGGACAGCCAGGGCTTCACAAAGAAACCTTGTCTTGAAAAACCAAAACAACAAAACAAAATAAAACAAAAAGTTATTTTGTTATTGTATTTTTAGAGAGATGTCTAGCTCATCTGGCCTTGAAGTTGCTGTTACCAGAGCTGTCCTTGAGCTAATCTTCCTAATTCCTTATCCCAAATCCTGTGATTACAGGGGTGTACCACTGCACCTGGCTCACACAGGGCCATTCTTGAAGCTACACTTATTACTGTCTGCTATCCTGACCCAGTTTCTCTCCTACAGTGTATACCTGTGACCTGCAAGGCTTCGCACTTATGATTTCATATGTGCGAATGGATGATTTGCCTGCATGAATGTCTATGTACACAGAGAGTGTGGGAACCCATTGGAAATTGAGTTGCAGACTGTTGTTAGCCATCATGATGGTGCTTGGCTTGGCTTGGCTGGAAATTGAACCCAGGTCAACAGCTTGGCTTGGCTAAAGAAGGCCATAATAGTGCAAGGTAAGGCTGAGTAGACTCATGTGTGGGCAACAGACAAAGGAAAGGTTGGTTAGGCGATGACAGGGGGAAAATCTATAGGCTATGTACAGTGTGCCTTGAGAGTCCGGGTAAATTGAACTTTCAACAAGCCAAGGAGCACTAAGTACTCCTCTGTCCCCCACAGAGACTGACCGACATCCAGGCTCAGTTTTTGAGGGAGGCCAAGCTCAGAGTCCAGGATATAGAATGTTCAGAAGACTAAATAGCATCCTAGTGCAGGCCTAAGA